GATGCTAAAATGAGTGAGTGTGTGGTAGATGGTGGGTGGATGAGTGAGCGAAGGGTTGATGAGTGAATGAGAGAGTGTGTGGTAGATGGTGGGTGGATGAGTGAGTGAAGGGTTGATGAGTGTGTGGTAGATGGTGGGTGGGTGGATGAGTGAGTGAAGAGCAGCACTGTCCTGGTGGAGCCAGCACTCTGAGTCTTGCCCACCCACAGGTCTTTAAACGTTGCCTTATTTGAGGTGTAGCATTCACTGCTTTGCTGGTCCCTGGCTACCCCACTGCCCTCCCGAAGGCCCCGTGGATACGTACGTAAAACTCGGACTCCGTGGCGTAGAGCCTGGACCCGCCCGGGCTCGACGGACATGCTGAACGAGCTGTGCTTGTCGCCAACCGTGCACACGTGGCCCTGTTCGGCTGCCTGGCGGACCATGGCTGTCAGTTTGCTGGCGATGATGGTGTTGAGGATGGAGATGACCACCATGGGGAACACGAAAGACATGAAGGTATTGATCTGCGGGGAAAAGGAGACAGCTCGTCGGACCCGCTGGCTGGGGCGCTTGGTCTATTGGGGTGACCGGCAGACACAGGCCCCCACCCAGCCTGGAGTCTGCCTGCTCCGAGCCCGGGGCCACAGGAGGTTTGCAGCCTCTCCCGCCCGCTGCTCCGGGGGCTGGGCCCGGGCCCAGAAGACAAGCTGATTCCCTGTGAGTCACACAGCCGGGTATAATTTAAACAGAGAGAATGTCCAACACAGATTTTAAACGTCAAAACATTTAAAATACGGCACCTCGCTGAGTGCAGGCAGCAGAAATAGCTACCTCTGGGGGCTGGGCGGGGTCCCATGGGCTGTGGGTCTGGCCTGGGGGAGGAGGCCATGGCCCTGCAGCCCCACCTGACCAGGCTGGGTCCCCGGCTTGGAGAGGAAACTCAGGCCAATGCTGGCTTCAGGGGGTGGCGATGCCTGTCCTCGGCTCCCAGCCCTCCAGCCCGGAGCAGACAGAGTCTGCACCAGGAAGGTGCTGGCTCGGTGGTCTGCCTTCTCCGGCCAAGGCGCACAGCACACACCGGGCTCAGGCTGTGCCCCTTTTCTGCACTCTACCCCCACTTCTGGGAACAGGGGGCAGCCCAGCCCCGACCCCTGCAACAAGCAAAGAGGAATGCATCTGCTCAGCCCCGCGCAATATGACTACAGGAGGAAGAAGAGGCTGACGGTGGGCCCCGGACAGAGACGGGGGCATGGACGGGCTCTGCTCGGTCTGTGCATTTGTCCAAATAAAACATGAGCGTGACTGGGGAAGAGACAGGCTAATTCTAAAACTCAAGTGGGAAAATAACATAATCTAAGGATAGCCAGGAATGTTCCAGAAGGTGGAGTGGCGGGTCAGTGCGAGACAGGGAGGCCCCAGCGGTACTGCGATGGGAGCACGGGAGAGGAGACTTCCATGAGGACAGTGTGGCAGGGATGAGTGGACAGTCAGGAGAGAGGCCAGAGCTTTTGCCACGTGGGATAGAGATGGCACCTGAGCGGGTGAAGGTGGGTGTCCATCTGCAAAGCCAGGAGGCTGCGCCCTCTGCCCCTTCCCAGGACCCCCCTGTGCTTCCCGGGAACTGCCCACCCCCTCCAGACCTGGCCATTAGCACATTGGAAAGACCTGGGCAGGCCCTCATTGGAGGGATGCAGGCCGCTTGTAGCCTCGCACCACGCTCGTCCGTGAGGCCAGCGCAGGCCTTCCGCTCCGGGCTTGCTGAGTGAGAAAGTGCTTTTGTGACTGTTGGCACCATTTCCCCAACTTGTGGGAAGGACCCACCGAAGAATGAAGCCCGCACAGGAGACAGGAGAGCGCCACGATATGGTTCCAGCTCCTTGACGCAGCTGTGCCTGCAGCCCTCACTCCTGAGTAAAATAAATATCCCCCCCCCCCGCCACTTAAGACAACCCAAATTAGTTCCTGAGACCTGTGCCCTAACTCTCACCAAAAAACAAACGCACAAACCAAACTCAGACGGAGCAAAGGTTAAAAAACAGAAATAAAAGCCACCAGACAGCTAGAGGAAATGATGGGCGCTTGGCTTTTCACGTATGTGCTGCACTGTTGGAATTCCAGAAACAGTGATTCAGGTGCTGCTGTAAATGTTGCTATAAAGTGAGTGATGGAACATAAATTGTCTCAGTCATTGAGAAGTGCCTGCCTTGCCCTCCTAATGTTTCTGTGACTGCGCTCCTGCCTTCTCTGGCCCCGCGGGTGGTGCTGTGAGGGAGACGGAAGGGAATGGATGCCCCAACCAGAGCAGTAGGTGGTGCCCAGGGCAGCTGGCGGGCAGCGGTGTGCTCGGGCGGGAG